AATGATGATGGGTCTTCGTCGTCGGTGTTGTAGTATCGGGCTCCGATGAGTTTCCTGCAGGTTACGGTTTAGGGTCATTTTATGCATGCATGCGTAAATCCTTATAAGAAGATTGTGAAGGATCTTAATTGGAGCCACCTCAGTAGGAAACACAATAGAGACGTTGAGGTACGATTCTGTTTACGTATTTCTCACCTTCATATCTTTAAGCCGAAACGAAATTATGACAAAGGTTTCTTGTTCTTCCATACTTTTCTTTTGAAGCGAAAAGAATCCAAATTCAGAGGCGTGCAATTGAGATAAAACCCATCCAAAATCGTAGCATTAATTACAAGGGGCTAGAAGATTGTTGCATTGACAAGAACTGATAATATAACATGTGAACAATATACGACAATGCTATAAAGGTGAGTACTGGATGAGCAACATACGGGTGATCAACTTCTTGTCTGTGTTTATACAGATTTGCATGGAGACAACTAATTTTTTAGGGATAAAAGAGGAAGAAGAGGGAGGAGGAGGAGGGAAAGGAAGCAGCCAGCTCGACTTGAACTCACTTGTTACAATTTGAGGCACTGAAATCGGCCCCTTTCATGCAAGTCCCCTTCCATCTACTCGGAACCGCTTTCATCCCAGCGTCATCAAAGCTCTTCGACTCCGGCCAAATCCCTGAAAATTCACAACAATTACGAAATAAATACGCTCACAGACGTGGGGACTAAGGTGCGTATCAGTGACAAATTCAGCGCGCTTGCCAGTGTCAAGAAGTCCAATGATGGTGTCCGCGGGTCCACCAGCCGACGAGCCTGAGCCGGAGTCCTGCTTCAGATAGGTCTCGACCAATGTTTGTTGAAGAAACTCCCATGATCTTGTAGTGTGCAGCTGATATATTGGGTCGGCAAACACCGACACGACGCCTTGTTTCTTGCTGATGGCGAGCGCCTCCTCCTTCAGCAGTCTCGCCGCGAACCCAGAGAACCCGTGCTCGTATCTGCGGACGATCGTCTTCTCCGCGTGCTGTCCTCTGTTTCAAAGTTAAAAACCCGTTCTCAAGATTATTGAGAATGTGGACTTAAAAGTAAGAAGAGAGCCCTCGATCAGTGTTGGGTTGGAGTCAGGATTTTTGTTTAATTAAATGGTATATGATTGCAGTTGGGAAAAAAAGGTTTTTTTTCCCACTGTTTAGTCAAAATTAGAGATGATATGAATGATAGGAAGATGATCGTGATGTGGGAGATATTTGTTAAGGCTCTGTTTGGCAAAGGGTTAAGAAAGAGAGATTAATGAGAAGGATTAGCATAGTTAGCTCATTCGATAATCTGAAAGACTAAATTACTAACCCGTTAAATAAGTTTTATTTTAACCCTTATGATCATTTGTAGTGTTTGAAAATAAAAATGATTTTGGCTATTTTCTTTATAATTAGAAGAGTTAACTCTTAATCATTCTAAATAACAGTATTAGTAAATCCCTCATTTTGAGGGGTTAACTCATTTTAATCCCTCTACAGGGGTTAGCTTAACCCTTCTATATTTTTTATGGCAAATTATAGAGGGTTAACTCATTTTAACCCTTCTATAGATTTTTTATGTTTGACGGGTTAAGAAGGGGTTAGGTCTCCTTAACTCCTCACTTAACCCTTTGCCAAACGGTACCTAGGTGTATATAATTATAAGTTAATTATATAACCCTCAATCGTTATCATAATTTTCAATTTTCAATGTAATACAATGAGCTTTAAGATGATATGAAAGCAATTCGGCTTTAAAGCTTATAGGAGAAGCATGCAAAGCAATTAGAAAAAAAAATCATCGTTATATGTAAACCATGCAGCTTTAGTGGGCGTTTGGTTCAATTTTTACAAATTATAGGAAATGTTTTCCACCCAAAATATGATTTCCTTGTATTTCTTAAAAAAAAATTATAGGAAAAGTTTTGGGAAGTCAAAAAGTACAATTTTTTTTTTACTTTGCTTGTTTGGTTCAAAACAAGAAAATGACCCATAACTTTATAGAAAATAGCAAAATTTCCTATAATTTGTAGAAATTGAACCAAACACCCCCTAAATTTATAGAAAAGTACAAACTTTATAGAAACATGTCAATGTGGTGTCAGATTTCTGGGTGATTTCCGTCCATTTTGAGAGAAAATTGATTTCTGTAAATTTTGATATTTTTTGTACTTTACAGAAAATATTTCTATAATTTTTTTTGAACCAAACACTGTTTACGGAAATCTATAAAATTTTTTTAATTACAGAATTGCCATTAACAGACATTTTGATAAAACTTTTCTATAAAATTGTGCAACCAAACACCCAAATGAAAATTATGCTCAATCATTAAGGACATGTTAGACTACAAAATTATAATATATAATTCTCATCATACCTTTAAAAGTTTTGAGATGATAAAGATGTTTTATTAGTTCTAACTTTAGACAGCAGTGAAAACTTTATTGCATAGAAAAGAGAGAAATTTGAAGACCTTTTTAGTACCGAGGAGAGAAGTTGAAAGTGGCTTTCCTTCAAAGAGTTTGCATTTGAGCCCCCAGGGATTGCTCCCATGTAGACTACGTAGACTTCTCTCTTCTCCTCTGCAGTGACTCTCATCACCAATAAAAAGCAAAGGAAAATGCTCAATACCCGGTGGCTATTCATTTTTCCTTACGATTATGTAGGTCTGACTCTATTGTTGGAAATTTATAGGGTTGCAAAGAGTAAGTGGGACTTAAGGTGGAGGAGAGTAGGCAGGCAATATTGGAGCTTTGAGTGGATGGATGTTACATAATACGCATGCACCGCAAACCCCACAAACTTTCGAGTGCGCCAACATCTCTTACTTCTACTGATCACGGTTTTTTTTAATGGATGAAGATTCATGTGGCTTAATTCTGTCAGTGTTCGGCTTTAATGTTTATCGTTTCACTATCTATTTCTAAATGTTAAAGATATATATATTTCAATACGTCAAAACTCTGAAGTTGCGATGAGGGTTTATAATTATTTCATACTCTAAAATGATCAAGGACCTTTTTCTATCCCAAATGTAATTCAGATAGTCACTTGCAGTAGGAAGCCCACAATAAATATAAGACTTTAGAGGAGATTCATATATATGAGACACCATATGTTAGTCTAATGGATGTAGACTCAAAGCTGAAATCAAACAAATTGTTGGATAGCAGGTTTCCTAATCTGTTTTGGTAACATGATTCTTAATCTGTTTTGATAGCATGGTTCTTAATCTATTTTGGTAACAGGTTATTAGGATTCCTAATCTGTTTTGTTTTTTGGTTTTAGAATTCCTAGTTTGTTTTGCTTTTAGGTTTTCTATATATATGGAACGCCTTAGAAGAGATCAGACATCAGAAAAAGAGGATTTTGAGAGAATTCTTCAGAGAGATCTCAGAGAGATTAGATCTTATTTGTGGGTATTGTAATATTCTTCAATATTAATCAAAGAATTGTGTGGTGTGGCTCCCGAGAACGTAGGCACGATTGCCGAACCTCGTTAAATCTGGTGTGTTCTTTCTTGTTTACTTTCCTGCAAGTTTTTATTTTTTATTTGCTGTGATTTTTCCCACTTTCCTACTCTCAAACACAAGGTCCGGAAGGGCAAGAGTTCGATTTGATTATTTTGAATCCCCAACAACTGGTATCTGAACTTCGTTCAGAAGGATTGTGAGAGAGCCGTGACAGAGGAAAGCAAATCTAAGATCGAGAATTTTGACGGTTCAGACTTCGCCTACTAGAAGTCGCAGATGGAGGACTATCTGTATCAGAAGGACTTGTATCGCCCGTTGATAGGCAATGCTAATGGAAAGAAGAAAGAAGAGTCAGACAAGGATTGAGAGATACTAGATAGGAAGGCTCTAGGGAAAATCTGGTTATCGCTCGCCAAGATAGTCGCACGTAACATATTAAAGGAGAAGACGATAGTGGGGCTTATAGAAGCACTCACGAAGATATACGAGCAACCGTCTACCACAAACAAGGTGCATCTCATCAAGATACTCTTCAATCTCAAGATGATTGAAGGACGCTTTTTCACAATACACCTCAGCGAGTTCAACATGATTGTTGATCAACTCATCTCCGTAGACATCACGTTCGATGACGAAGTGTAGGCCCTATTGATTCTATCGCAATTGCTAGATAGTTAGGCAGGTTGTGTGACGCCAATCAGCAATTCGACGAGGAAGGACAAGTTGAAGCTGAGCGAGGTTATTAGCTTGATTCTATCCGAGGAGGTTAGAAGAAAATCGTTTGAAACAGAAGGTTTAGATTTATCCCTAAATCTCAAGCAGAGAGGCAAAAGCCAGAAGAAGGCTAATCAGAACAGGAATCGATCGAAGTTAACCAAGAAGAGGTCGAACTTGAAAGTTAGGCCTATCAAAGGAAAGTGTTAGAACTACGGTCAGGAGGGCCATATGTCTTTAGCGTGTAAAGCACAAAAGAAGGACGTGAATGAGCAGGAGGCTCATCTCGTGCAGGATGTATTGATCCTCACTGTGGATAGCGATTCTGATTCTTAGGTCATCACTCAGGAGCCTCGTTCCACGCCACTGCTAATAGGAAGCTTCTTCATAACTATGTAGCAAAGGACTTTGGGAAAGTATACTTGGGGATAATGAACCCTGTAGTGTTATTGGAAGAGGAGATGTGCAAATACAATTGAATGGCTCTAAGTTGAATCTGAAGAACATGAGACACGTACCAAAGCTGAAGAGGAATCTTATTTCGGTTGGCCAGTTTGGAGAAGAAGACTATGTTTTAACATTCATCGGGGATTCGGGGAGGATCTCAAATAGTACTATGATTGTTGCCCGAGGCAACAAAACATGAACTCTCTACCTCACCTCACATACGAGTGACACCCTCGCAATTGCAGCTGGCAAAGAGAGTACGGATTTGTGGCACAATAGATTAGGACACATGAGCGAGAAGGGGATAAAGATTCTACATTCACAGGGGAAGCTAACCGGTATTAATTCTGTGGAAGTTGGTATTTGCGAGGACTGCATTTTTGGAAAGCAGAAGAGAGTTAGTTTCCAGAAGGGTGGAAGGCCACCTAAAGCTCAGAAGCTAGAGTTAGTTCATTATGACGTATAGGGTCCAGCTCGCGTGTTTTCTCTTGACGGTTCGGCATACTATGTCACTTTCATTGATGATCAATCGAGGAAGGTGTGAGTATACTTCATGAAGAACAAGTCAGAGGTGTTCAGGATCTTCAAGAAGTGGAAGGCCATGATGAAGAATGAGACAAATCTGAAGGTGAAGTGTCTGAGATCAGACAACAATGAAGAATACGAGCTGAAGGAGTTCAAGAGGTTCTGTGCTCTAAATGAGATTCATTTAGAGAGGACTACTCTAGGGATACCGTAACAAAACGGTACTGCAAAGAGGATGAACAGGATATTGACGGAGCGTGCCAGGAGCATACAATTACATGCAAGTCTGCCTAAGATATTTTGGGCGGATACGGTGCATACGATAACTTACTTAATTAATCATGGACCATCAGTTCCATTGGATTACGGAATTCCGGAGGAGGTTTGGAGTGGCAAGAAGATCAATCTCTCACATTTGCGAGTATTTGGTTATGTGGCATATGTGTTAGCCCTTATGTTTTGATGATGTTTTACAACCATCATTAACGATACTAATGGCTTATTGAGTGCAAATGTAGTAAATTCATTTATCAAGCTTGTTAGTGCCATTCATGGAGGATTGGATGGAACATACGCTACAACGATGATATCCAAAGGAGGAGGAGGCATAATGATGAAGCAATGTTATTTCAAGAACAACAAATTCATATAAAAGCTTCATCCAAAATCAAGCTATATCAAGACTCAAAGATCGTATTCTATGTGAGGATATTAGCTAGTTTTTATTCTCTCTCTAGTATTAGAATGTAGGCAAAGAGTTATTGAATTCACTTGAAGCTATTGGGACTCACACACACATTTTCATACTTAAGCTTTTAAGCGTTTTTCGCAAAATACTATTTTTCACAAGTATAAGGACCTATCTGCAAAATTCCTTTTCTAAACAGTTTGTTTTCAGTATTAAAAACATTTTACAAAGTTTCATAATTTTCAGAGGTCATATAAATATTTTCTAAATATTTTAGTTTGAGTCAAAACAGTCTTCTGGAGCATATCAGAATGCGGTCGACCGCACCGGTCGACCGCACTTAAGGTCATTCGTTACTGGGCTCCAGAGAGGTCGTCGGTCGACCGGTGCGGTCGACCGAAATCTCAATTTTTATATCGGTCGACCGCACCGGTCGACCGATGATGGCTCTGCTTGTTTTCTAAGTTTTCAAAGCTGATCGCGGTCGACCGGATTTTCGGTCGGTCGACCGAATTTATCTTTTCGGTCGACCAAACGTTCTGGCGGTCGACCGAAATTTTATTCGGTCAACCGAGAGCTTTTTCAAACGGTCGATTGCCTTGGTTACTGTGCTATCACTTAACTGTGTTTGGCACAGTCTGTGGCAATAGTCTGAATAGTAGATTATTTTCTTAATTGGGAAGATTGAGTTGTGATTTTAAATTGATTAATCTTTTCTATTTAAACCAAGACTTCTTCTTCTTCCAGTCGCCCTAACTTCTGCTGAAAAACCAGAGAGACGCTGTCTTCTGAGAAAAATTTTCATACTCTATTCTCTGTGGTTTTTCACTGTGTTTCCTATGTGAGTTCACTTCCCAGCTTCAATATTCTTTCTCTTTGCCATAGGGTCTTGTAAAGAGAGAGTCTTGCATCATTTCTACTGCTGTGTGAGTGTGATCTTGTGTAGATCAACTGTGAGGGTGTGGGATCTGTTGAGATCAACTGTGTAGTGAGAGATTGAGAGGGAATCGCTGTGTAGACGAAGTTCCGGCTTCCAAACCGGGTGTGTAGTGGATTTCTCCTCGAGAGTGGGGAGCGGGGACGTAGGTCAGCGGACCGAACCTCGTTAACACATCGCGCGTCAAAGAATAACAATTCATAACCCTATCTCTTTTACTTTAATCGCATTACTATTTTGTGGTTTGCTTGTGTTTAATTTTTATTGCATATTAGAGCCTCTTGACCCTAATCACCCCCCTCTAGGGTCCAACAATTGGTATCAGAGCTTGGTCTCTATATTAATTTTTGGTTTAACCGCCTTAGAGAAAAGATCTAATGGAGGCCTCTTTGAATATGCATATGTTAGAAGGACAATCCACAAAGGAAAAATGATTTCATTTTGGTTCAAATATATGTGGATGACATTATTTTTGGTGCTACTAATGAATCCTTGTGCAAGGAATTTTCTAAAGTTATGCAGGATCACTTTGAGATGAGTATGATGGGAGAGCTTACATTCTTTCTCGGGCTCCAAGTCAAGCAAACTAAGGATGGGATCTTCATTTCACAAAGCAAGTATGCGAAGGAATTGGTGAAGAAATTCAAGTTGGAGAATTCTAAGCATGCGCCTACTCCCATGAGTACTAGTGTTAAGCTTGATGCGGATGAGAGTGGTGAAGATGTGGACCAAAAACTATACCGATGTATGATAGGTAGTCTTCTTTATCTCACCGCTAGTAGACCCGATATCATGTTTAGTGTGTGTGCATGTGCACGTTTTCAAGCATCTCCTAAAGCATCTCATTTAATTGCGGTTAAAAGGATCATTAAGTATGTTAATGGAACTTTTAATCTTGGTTTATTTTATCCAAAGAGCACCTCTTTTGATTTATATGGTTTTTGTGATGCCGACTTTGCCGGATGTAAGGTAGATCGCAAGAGTACTAGTGGAACATGCCAATTCTTAGGAAATTCCCTTGTTTCTTGGGCTTCCAAGAAACAAAATTGTGTTGCATTGTCCACTACGGAAGCGGAATACATTGCCGCCGGTTTATGTTGTGCTCAAGTTTTATGGATGAAACAAAGTTTAGTTGACTATGATTTGAATTTTCAAAATATTAAAATCTTTTGTGATAACACAAGTGCTATAAATATTTCCAAAAATTCGGTTTTGCATTCTAGAACCAAGCATATTGATGTGCGCCATCATTTCTTACGCGATCATGTAGAGAGACAAGATGTATCCCTAGTATTTGTTGACACAAAATCTTAATTAGCGGATATATTTACTAAGCCTCTTGGAGAGGATGATTTTTGGCGCATAAGAATTGGTTTGGGCTTATGCACTATGTGAAAGTTCTACATTGCTTGCTTGTTCATTTGTTGCATATACTTAGGGGGAGCTCATAGATAGGGGGAGCACCTATCTATAAGCTATTTTATTTTTGCTCTTATAATGGTTGGTTGTCATCATCAAAAAGGGGGAGATTGTTAGCCCTTATGTTTTGATGATGTTTACAACCACCATTAACGGTACTAATGGCTTATTGAGTACAAATGTAGTAAATTTATTTATCAAGCTTGGTAAGTGTTAGCCCTTATGTTTTGATGATGTTTTACAACCATCATTAACGATACTAATGGCTTATTGAGTGCAAATGTAGTAAATTCATTTATCAAGCTTGTTAGTGCCATTCATGGAGGATTGGATGGAATATACGCTACAACGATGATATCCAAAGGAGGAGGAGGCATAGTGATGAAGCAATGTTATTTCAAGAACAACAAATTCATATAAAAGCTTCATCCAAAATCAAGCTATATCAAGACTCAAAGATCGTATTCTATGTGAGGATATTAGATAGTTTTTATTCTCTCTCTAGTATTAGAATGTAGGCAAAGAGTTATTAAATTCATTTGAAGCTATTGGGACTCACACACACATTTTCATACTTAAGCTTTTAGGCGTTTTTCGTAAAATACTATTTTTCACAAGTATGAGGACCTATCTGCAAAATTCCTTTTCTAAACAGTTTGTTTTTAGTATTAAAAACATTTTCAAAGTTTCATAATTTTCAGAGGTCAAATAAATATTTTCCAAATATTTTTTCTGGAGCATATCAGAATGCGGTCGACCGCACCGGTCGACCGCACTTAAGGTCATTCGTCACTGGGCTCCAGAGAGGTCGTCGGCCGACCTGTGCGGTCGATCGAAATCTCAATTTTTATATCGGTCGACCGCACCGGTCGACCGATGATGGCTCTGCTTGTTTTCTAAGTTTTCAAAGCTGATCGCGGTCGACCGGATTTTCGGTCTGTCGACCGAATTCATCTTTTCGGTCGACCGAACGTTCTGACGGTCGACCGATGGTTTATTCGGTCAACCGTGACTTTTTCTCTAACGGTCGTTTGCCTTGTTAACTGTGCTTTCACTTAACTGTGTTTGGCACAGTTTGTGGCAATAGTCTGAAGAAGAGATTATTTTCTTAATTGGGAAGATTGAGTTGTGATTTTAAAATGTTTAATCTTTTCTATTTAAACCCAGACTTCTTCTTCTTCCAGTTGCCCTAACTTCTGCTGAAAAACCAGAGAGACGCTGTCTTCTGAGAAAAATTTTCAAACTCTGTTTTCTTTGGTTTTTCACTGTGTTTCTTGTGTGAGTTCACTTTCCAGCTTCAGTACTCTTTCTCTTTGCCATAGGGTCTTGTAAAGAGAGAGTCTTGCATCATTTCTACTGTTGTGTGAGTGTGATCTTGTGTAGATCAACTGTGAGGGTGTGGGATCTGTTGAGATCAACTGTGTAGCGAGAGATTAAGAGACAATCGCTGTGTAGACGAAGTTCCGGCTTCCAAACCGGGTGTGTAGTGGATTTCTCCTCGAGAGTGGGGAGCGGGGACGTAGGTCAGCGGACCGAACCTCGTTAACACATCGTGCGTCAAAGGATACCAATTCCTAACCCTATCTCTTTTACTTTAATCGCATTACTGTTTTGTGGTTTGCTTGTGTTTATTTTTATTACATATTAGAGCCTCTTGACCCTAATCACCCCCATTCTAGGGTCCAACAATATGTTCATATCAGTGACCATGTCAGGGACAAGGTAGAGGCTAAGTCACAGAAGTGCACATTAATTGGATATGATATTTATGAGTTTGGATATCGTCTTTGAACAGGAAGATCATCAGAAGTAGGAATGCGATATTCAATGAGGAAGTAATGTACAAGAACAGAGATAGTGCCAATGATAGCCAAAGTAGTGGGAGCAACACTACGGATACAGGTGGATCCGAGTACATGGATTTGGAGGAACTTTCAGATGGGGGCGATAAAGTCAATTCTAACCGAAGAATGGAGGAGGCTCCACCTGCAGAGACGACTACCCAGGGTGTGGAGCTTAAGAGGTCATCCAGAATACCCAAACCGAATCTCAGATATCTCTCATCACTTGTTTATTTGCTTTTGACAGATAGTGAAGAACCAGAGTGCTATGAGAAGGCTATACAAGTGAGTGAATCTCAGCAGTGAGAGCATACGATGCAAGAGGAGATGGATTCTCTACACACTAATGAGACATGAGAGTTAATCCAGCTACCTGCACAGAAGAAAGCCTTGCATAACAAATGGGTCTATCGGGTCAAGCAGGAGAGCGATGGAAGTAAGAAATACAAGGTCAGGTTAGTCGTGAAGAGGTTCCAACAGTGAGAAGGAGTGTACTATATAGAGATATTTTCCCCGTTGTGAAGCTCACAATCATCAGAGTGGTGTTGAGCCTAGTAGCCGTAGAAAATGTCTATCTTGAGTAGTTAAATGTGAAAATTGTCTTTCTTCATAGTGACTTGGATGAAGAAATCTACATGAAGTAACATGTTAGCTTCATTGAAGAAGGAAAGAAAAAGATGATGTGTAAGCTCAAGAAGAGCTTGTACGGATTGAAACATGCCCCGAGACAGTGATATAAGAAGTTTGACAACTTCATACAGAACAATGGTTATAGAAGATGCAATTCAGATCAATGGTGCTACTTCAAGAGGTTCGAGTCTAGTTTTATTATATTGTTATTGTATGTTAATGATATGTTAGTTGCAAGACCGAGTTTAGAGGAGATAAGCAACTTGAATAAGCAGTTGGCAAAGGAGTTTGCTATGAAGGATTTGGGTATAACGAAGCAGATTCTAGGTATGCGAATCAGTAGAGATAAAGCTGAAGGGACGTTAAGGTTGAGTCAAGCTGAATACATCGAGAATGTATTTCAGAGGTTCAACATGTAGAATGCTAAGGTTGTTATCACGCCTCTTGGAAGCCAATTCAAGCTATCTAAAAAGCAATCGCCTAAGATAGATGCAGATGGAGAGTATATGAGTAGGGTTCTATATTCTTCGGCCATTGGGACTCTCATATACGTGATGGTTTGTACGAGGTCGGATATTGCCCATGCAGTGGGAGTTGTGAGCAACTTTGCAAGCAATCTAGGAAAGAAGCATTGGGAGTTCGTGAAGTGTATATTGCGCTACTTGAGAGGGACTATGGACAAGCCACTATGTTTCAGGAGGAAGGAGTTGGTACTGTAGGGATACGTGGATGCGGACTTTGTCGCTAATCATGATACGAGACAGAGCACCACGGAGTATGTTTATATCTTAACGTCGACGACAGTGAGTTAGGTTTCACGTCTGCAGAAAATTATAACTTTGTCTACAACTGAAGGTGAGTATGTCGCGATGACTGAAGCAAGCAATGAGATGATTTGGTTGAACGGGTGCCTGAAAGAGTTGGATCTGAAGCAAGGAACATGAGTTCTTTATTGTGACAGCTAGAGTGCTATACATTTTACCAAGAATCCAGTATATCATACCAGAACGAAGCGCATCGACGTACGATACCATTTTATGAACAGGAAGTTACATCTAGAGAAGATTTTGGGTAGTAAAAATCCTGGATATGTTCACGAAAGCAGTGACCATTGATAAACTAGAGTTGTGCGTAACTTCAGTTGGCCTTCACGAGTAGGAGATGAAGGTGGAGCCACACCAAGAGGATCACAAGGATCGCCGGGTTGAAGATGATTGAAGAATGGATTTTTTCTTTATAGGAGGATGCTTGCAAAGAAGTGAAAGTTTGGGTGAGCTCGTTGATTGTGCTTTGGTCTCCAAGTGAGAGATTTTTAGTCCAAGGGATGTAGACTGAAAGCTAGAATCAAAAAAATTATTGGATAGCAGGTTTTATAATCTGTTTTGGTAACATGATTCTTAATCTGTTTTGGTAACATGATTCTTAATCTGTTTTGGTAACATGATTCTTAATCTGTTTTGGTAACATGTTATTAGGATTCCTAATCTGTTTTATTTTTTGGTTTTAGAATTCCTAGTCTGTTTTGGTTTTAGGTTTTCTATATATATGGAATGCCTTAGAAGAGATCAGACATCAGAAAAGAGGGTTTTGAGAGAATTCTTCAAAGATCTCAGAGAGATTAGATTCTATTTGTGGGCATTGTAATCTTCTTCAATATTAATTAAAAAATTATGTGGTATGGCTCCCGAGGACGTAGGCACGATTGCCGAACCTCGTTAAATATGGTGTGTTCTTTCTTGTTTACTGTCCTATAAGTTTTTATCTTTTATTTGCTGTGATTTTTCCTACTTTCCTACTCTCAAACACAAGGTCTGGAAGGACAAGCGTTTGATTTGATTGTTTTGAATCCCTAACGCCATACATTTTGTCAATCATAACCATCTATTATTTAACAGACAATTATGAATTGTTACGTACATGGAAGCGAAACTGAGTGAAGCCCTTAGAACTGGATCATAACCGTCTAAATATTATTCGACATCTGTGATTTGAAGCGATCTCTCTCTGTATTGTCAAAACGGCAGTGGAGATATTCATATTAGCAAATGGGAGGAGGGATAGATAGAATGCTGGGGAAAATAATAATGTGCATGCTCACAGTGATTCATGGTAGTGGGCAAATGAGATATGATAAGATATAATAGTGTGGGGATTATTGGTGCCACTAGCAGGGGACTCTGAAGACAAGGACGATTCCATTGACCTCCACCATTGACTTCCACCATTGACCTCCACCAACATTTGCCTTTTCACTTGAAAGACTAATTAAACTACTTAAAATAGTAGTTTTGGTGTGACTTTAGTCAGTACAGTGGAGTTGAGTGCAAATATAGCTAGTTGGTTTGCGGCATGCGTGACTAGCAATGGCATTTTGCTTCCATTAGCCCTAACACAGAACTTCAGATTTTGGCGTAACTCAGAATTATATATGTGAATTTATATTAATGCTAGCAGATGGCCAAATATACTCTAGAACAACTAGAGTCACTGAAGAATCTGAATATTTTTAAATGCTGCTATGGATTGAATAAAAAATAGCTATAACATAATCGTAAGGGTGGGCACTCATAGGTGCAAATAGAATAAACCTATCCAACTGTTATCGATTGAGTAAGGAGTAACTGTAACATAGAAAGCAAGGGTGGGCACTCATCAGTGCAAATAGAATAAACCACTCCCACAGACGGAATTTCGATGCTTCGGTTCAGTTTTAGAAAAACCTCGGTTTAGTTTGGTTTCGAAATATTTGAAATTGAAGTAATCGAATGGACCAATCTCAATGTACTTATCCGAAAATTCATGCTCTTTCCATATGAAATGATAATTTATACCAATACTTTAATGTATCTTAATCGATAGAGGTTCAATTTTCGTGAGTAAAGTAGTCTTTTTGATGAGTTTGCTCTTCAACTGGGGAGATACAGATGAGCAAGAAGGTTTGAAGGAGTACGAGTATTGTCTTTTAGCTAAAAATTCCCTTACTTGATATATCATGCCAAAATTGAACCAAACCACACCAACCTGATTTGATTTGGTTCAGTTTAATTTTAAATCTAGTTCGGTTCGGTTTGGTTTGAGAAAATATAGTCAAAACTAACCGAAATGAGCATTTGCTGACCCTAAATAGAATCACTACTAGAAAATGGGGCATTATCTAGGGATGAATTTTTTGGTATAGAGATCAAAAACTATGGGAAGTGATCATTACCCAGGAAATTTTCTTGAGAAAAGCTCCTTGTGTGACACCCTCCTGGCTAATAGTCATGAGTACCCACAAACTGTTTTTAATTCTAGAGTAAAGGTTTGTCCCTAGGTAATGGTCTATACCCACAAAATATTGCACAGGAAACTCGACCCTGGTTGTAGCTTAATTCACACAACATATTTCATGGGCAATGCTCACTTGAAATTTGCAAATGTTAAATCATCTCAAAACTAGAAACCAGAAATGAATCATTTATCATTACTTCTTACAGCCTCAATCAATTACATAACGTAGAAACTCATCAACAGCAAACTGTTAACCAGCAGCCCTTTTTTGACCCTAGCAGTCCTTTTTTAACGTTTGAGAAACCGGTGGCCGATTTCTTTGAAAATGAGAAAAGGAGGTGGGTCCCACAATTATTTATTATTAATGACGGGTCCCACTAATAATATTTTATTTGTGCATAATATTTCCCAAACACAATAAATATGACCCTAAACTCTTAAGAAAAACTCATCTCAGAAACAACTCCTCTCATAGAAGAGTAAGAGAGAAAACACAGAGAGAGTTTGCGAGAGTTCTTGGAATATATCTGATCAAGAGAGGATGTTCTCTTTGATCTATTCTTTTGGGATATAAAAGAATTTGGCGTTGTCGTTGCACCGTGGAGTAGCTCCGAAGGAGTGAACCACGTATATCTGTGAGTACCGTGATTGATTTTTTGCGCCTTTATTTTGTGTATTACGTCTCCGTTTGAGGCGTTATTGTTGGTGTGTACCTAACAACTGGTATCAGAGCCTGACTTAGAGTATATATATCTGCTTATCGTATGCTCTGTGACTGCCACTAAAAATGGATCATCCACATCAGAAAATAAGTTAGATTATTATTTACTCTTTTAAGGCATTGAACACTATTCACGTGTAAATATGATACTATTCACGAATATGGTACTATTCACGAATACAGTACTATTTATGAATACAGTACTATTCACAAATACTGGAAAGACGTAATCTTTCGCCATGAGATCTACAGTTGAAGATAACAGACTTCGAATTGAGAAGTTCGGCGGCCAAAATTTCAGGTATTGGAGGATGCAAATAGAAGACTATTTGTACCAGAAGGATCTCTTCCTACCCCTTTAAGGAGAGGCGGGGAAACCTGAGAAGATGGACGAAGATAAGTGCAAGGTGCTCGATCGTAAAGCACTTGCCACCATCAGGCTCAACCTTCACCAGCATGTGACGTACAACGTCTCGTATGCGACCACCACCAAGGAGTTGATGGAGGCCTTGGAGGCGATGTATGAGAAGCCGCCTGCTTCAAATAAAGTGTACCTGATGAAGAAGCTATTCAATCTGAAGATACAACAAGGAGCTCACGTGGCGGACTTCTTGGACGAATTTCAGGCTGTTGTGCAACAGCTTGCTGCAGTGGATCTAAAGTTCGACAACGAGATCCAAGCTCT